GCTAGTCTAGCAATTTTCTCTATAGAAAAGACCAAAATGCTGTGAGAAGCTGTAGTCACTAAAATGCCATCGTTTCTGACTCACAATGAACACCACCAGAACTGGCCCACATCCAAAAAAAAACCCAAACCCAAACTTTACTAAGGAGATGAAACCAGAAAGACAAAGGTCTCTACAATAAAAATGCCAGTGTTTCAGACAGAAAAGAAAGAGTGAAGAAAGAACAGTTTTAGAAATATTTTCTGTTTAGAGAAACTCACAGGAGAACTGATAAAGGAGGAGGCAGATGCTACCAGAGAGATGACACCATTGCATGGGTTAGGAATAACAAGTTGACTTGTACCTATTCATACTTCAGTAAGAAAAAAATCCTAAAGTGCAAATGAGAAGATATTTCTGTTCACTTTTTTTCCACATACAAAAACACCCCATGGCCATATAAGCATTCCAATTTATGAGGAGTCAGAAATTAACTAAGCTACTACTTCATCCTATACATAACATTAATACATTGTGCAAGGAAAAAAATTAACTCATTAATCAAAACCCTTTTTTTAGTGGTCTGAACCACAGTAAATGCACTCCTCTCATGCCACAGATTTTCCACACTGCAGACATATTGTAACCGTTTTAACTCATTATTTCTATTTATTTCCTTCACAAGTAGAGAAAATAACTCCAAGAGAGGTGCACCAACCCAGTATATTTTGTACTCAGAGAAAGGGTTATAGAAATGTACAGTGTTAATGGGGTTTATTTAGATTTTGTAGGTTCAATAAAAAGACAACATGAACAGAAAGAGAATGGAGAAAACATTGCACTTAGAATCTTAAAAATGTCCAATACCAATAAAAAAAGGCATGATCATTAGGGGAGGATAACCTAAGATTTAAAGATAATCTAACTGCCCATATATTACATCAAAAGGCTCAAAAACCCTATTGCAAATAACTTCCTGTAGGTTTTGCTTTCAAAAAAAGTTAGATTTAAAAATACTCAAGAAATAGTGACTCAAATTTAAAAAAAAGTTCACAAATCCTTCTCTTCAAAACAACGCATTAAGGAAAAATGAACAAGTGCTTTTGAAGAAAGACTCAGATTAAATTCTTGAAAATTATTATTTTACAGTCTCTTCAAAACAACATGATTGGAAGACAAAGTACTTGACAGCAAATGTGCAGAGGAGCTTTTGTTTGCTTGGATGTGGAGATCATTACAGTGAACTGAAGTCTTAGTGATGGTGCCTAGAGATGTGATGCCATCAGAAACGTTTTGTTTATTGAACTGTTCCTTCTGAAAAGAGACAGGCCAGGTTTCAGCTGCTGCCATCTTACAAATAAATGCACTCATACATGCACCTAGATAATTTTTATGATCTCTCCTTATTGTCCACTGGAATGCACATGTAGAAAATGTATCCCCTTTTTAACTATTGCAACAAGTACTTTGCTGTAGTCTTCTGTCTGTATATTTATAAAAAATATGGCAAATTTTTCTGATTTACAAAAAATCTTCTATTAAAAAAATCACTTCAGTCTGCTACTGGACACCCCAAGTTATGAACACACTGAGGAAAAATACTCACCATTGAACTGACAGGATTCACACAAATATTCAGAGCTAATTTTTTTTTACATCTAGGTCTAACAGCCCAGAAGAGTTTCTTTTATCCCAAAATCATTTTTCAGTTTATTCATCCATAAAGTAAACTAGGGATTTTTGATGTTTGCATGGAAGGGTGGAGTGAGGTGCACACAAAAAGCTGTAATAAAAGCATGAAAACATCCTTTGAATATACATTTGGTTTTACAAAATCGCAGCCTGTAAGTATATGATCAAAACATATTTACATTACATTCTATTTCCACAAAGTGGCATATACTTCAAAGATGTACATCTCCTTACTACACAGGAATATTTACTGCTTTTCCCAAAGTTATCTTCCTCCCATCCTCATTTTCTTCTGCTTATCCATTAAGAGGATATATCGAGACTTTTCAGAATCAAAGTTCTACGGGTTGTGAAATATATTCTGGGAAAGAATCCACCACAGCAGCTTTGCAATTTCTGTCTCTGAGATACTTAAATGTCTTGCAAACAACATTTGTGACCTTCCCTCTCAGAGAAATGGGACAGAAGGGCAGTAGCTTCCAGCCCTTCTCCACAGTATGGAACAGAAAAAAATCCTATGACAAGGATCCTACTTCTCCAAAAAGATCACAGCACCATAAACAGTGATACTAATGCATTGTGTTTAAGTAGATTGCAGCATCCTTATCTTTTACTTGATGTCAGATGATGTCAGGGGAAACTGAACTGGAGATATTTGTGCAAGGCACAGTAGCTGCAGTTACTTTATGGGGGCTCCATTTCTCTCCAATTTCAGAGGTTTTCATTTTACTGTAGTAGAAGCAAAATGAAAACAGTAATATCTTTGAATATTGAACAATACCAGTGTTTGAATGGAATAATGAGATAAAGATTACTACACTGTATTTTGATCTCCTGATGGCATAGCCACAGAAATACATTGGTTTCCATTCTGAAGTTGACACACAGAGTGAACATAGTCCTCATTTGGGCCTCAAATGCTCAATATCACTGATAGTTGGCCTATTCCTTTTTCAGCTATATGAAGAGAGGATGCTACTACTTTGCTGCTCCTGCTGCTTTTTACTGCTCTTCTTGCTCACCTAAGTAGCAATGTCTGATTAAACCCACAGCCCAGCTTCAAAAAACTGTCAGAAAGTGCTGAAAGCATGCTGAGTATGTCACTACTCACAATAGAGCAGTTTTTTCCTTTTCAGATTAAAAAAAAAATTGAGAACAAAACAGCCCTTCTAGTATTACTGGTATCTTAAATTAGGGGTTTGGGCATAGCAATAATCAAAATTAATCTGGTTTTCAACGTAATACTAACTGTGCAACAGCTCCTAATTTAGAAAGACAGCCCAGAATTTTCAGAATTTCACTTCTTGTAGTATGACAACTAAGAACCTTGCACTGTATCACAATGCTAACCTATTAAATTGTATCATCACAACACACCTTAAACTTCCAGATGAAAGGAAACATTGCTTTGGAGGATAAATGCTATTATCAATTATAGGACAGAAAGACCCTAACTACATCATCCAAATATTCCTAGGTGGTATAATTAACAGGTGACTTTACCAGTTACTGAAACAAGAAAATATCACATAGACCAGTCAGCTTATTCGTGATTCTTACAGGAAAAAGATGGAAAAATAACTATAATGTTTACAGCAGATCCCAAATAAAACATGAGAGAACGATGTTGTAATCACCATACAGGTAAAAAAAGGAGAAGAAGAGTCTGCAAAACATATTAATTAATCCTTTTGCTGTATTCCTCTGTGGTAGGCCCCACCTACTGAAGGTCTATAAAAAAAGAGGGGAAAAAAAGGAAAAAAAAAAAAGCAACCAAAAAAAAACCCCCACCAACAACCAAACACAAAGAGAAATGGAAAACTCTTCTGCTGTTCCTCCACAAAACAGGTTAGTAGTTGAAGGAGATTCAGAATACAGCACTGCATGTTTTAAATACGTAACTCTCTAAGTGAACAGTGTATCACCCATTTTGCACAGAATAAGCTTCAGAAAGCAAAATTCACCTCAGATATCAAGACCAGCTCTCTACAGTAAATACAGTGAGAACATCAAACACCTCAAGAAATTGTTTGTACGACTTGCCAAGTTGCAGAACCTGCATTGCCAGAGGATTTTTAAATTTAGCCCATCTGTAAAAGTAGGCTGTGGTATTGATCCTCTTGCAGGGATAGGAAGCAGACTGGATATCTTTTTGAACTCCCACTGATTTCACAATAATTATTTTAGATTCCATTTCAATAAATAGTATATGGGCCTCCAGTATAAATAGCTGAACAAACAAAACCTGCTCTGTAATTAAGATTCTGTATTTCGAAGAGGCAAGAACAGAAAATGCAAGTGAACTAGTAGTGAAATCTCAAGGTTCTGAATGAGACAAGACATGAATTCTTTCAAACTACAGTGGAAAACAGATTTATATCTTCCGTCTCTAGCCATCAAAACTTTTTTATTTTTATAGAACAACATTCCAAGATAAAAAACAACTAAAGCTGCTAATAGGAATAAACAGAATCTACAAGTAAAAAGAACTGGTGTTTAAAAATTCAGCAAAAATGGCAATAAGAGGTAGAAACAACCAAAGTCCATGCAATTTGGGCTTCAAGAAACAATGAGCCAACACAAAGCAAAAAATCTCCCCAAACCAAAATAAAAACAACAGTCAAGCAGTGGTTTAGTCACATAAAAAGAGAAGACTAGAAAATACCAAACCTACATTTAAATTTTGCCACCATTTCTGATAAAGGCACTGTCAGAGATCAAAGACAAAATGGCTTGTGAATGATGGCATTGAAACAAAATCTTTTTTGTTACAAGGGAAAATAAACACTAGCTTCGTGTTATAAAGGAGAGTTCGCTAGATTTCCATTTCAGACTTACAACATAAATGGTACATGAAAATTATTTAATCCTACACAGTTTAACATTAAGTGTATCACATCAGTAAAATATGTATAGAAGACAGAGGACATTGATATCTATAAAATAAAAAGGTGATCTGAAAAATGGGACAGAATTATTCATAGGTTTACCATACCCACATAGCCAATTGCTTTAAAGACAACCAAGTGTCAAAGGAAAATTAAGAGATTTAATTTATCTGGCCTTGACTCCTGCTGCAATACCATGACTGAAATAACTGGCTCACTGAAGAAGAAAATATAATAATTTTCAAACAGCTATGAAAAAGAGAAAAAATACACCATGCTGAATGGTTAACTGTCCAAGAGAAAAGTCCTACTAGAATTCTCACAATTCCTTAAGAATTGCTCTGAAAACTAATTTTATTGAACTTAGCGGTCAGGGTCCAAGAAACATTTTCGCATTAAAGCAGAAGGTGGTAAATTATGTGAATTCAGAAGCCACCATACTATTTTTCAGAGAGAATTTATTAACCTTGAAGTCTACTATTACAAATGAGATTAAGCAGTCAAAAATTAATGAAACCAGGAAAATTAAGTGAAACAAATGGCATGAACCTGAGATATTAATAAACCCATGATTCTGAAATGACAAGAGGAAAAGAAACCCTCTCAAGCCTCAGGACTTCTATCATTACTTCACTACAAGTTAATGATATGAACAGCTATGAACAAGATGTAGGTGGCTCAAGAAAGCACCAGAAGATCTAATTACAGTAAATACACAGACCCCGTGTAAAGACACTGGAGAGATATTATCTAAAATACCACATCATTTCTAGTTTTTCATACTCCAAAGATTAATTCAAGCTAGGAAAGATTGCACACAAAGGTCCTAAGAGGAAGAATCATACAGCAGAGACCAATTCTTCTTAAAGAAAGCTAGAAGTATCTTTGCCTTAGCTACAAAACAGAGATGTCATCACTGTTTCCAAAAGCACAGCAGAGAACATCAGGGAAGTAAAACAAATACACATTTAGTGAATAGCCATAAAATAGCCACAAACAAGTTAGAACATGAAAATTATAGTGAATTTTTAGTCATCACAGATCGATAGGCTGAAACACATTTTGGATCAGCAGCAGGAGAACCACCTGGTTGCCAAACCACATAGGTTGCCAAATGAAGTTCCAGAAACTTGGAGTCCTGAAAAATGCAGTGCAATACTGCAGCAGGGGATTGGATGTGATCACCCATTAAGTGTTTTCTACTCTTATGCCCTTATGCTAAGTGAGAGATCTACACACAGATTGGTTTCAGCCACCAGTAGCATCCACTCCACAATATTCCTTCAGTGCACCTCCAGGAGATTTATTAGACTAACATGACTGCACACTGTGACTTCTTTGGATGTACAAAGCCACTGTGAAATGCAAGCATCAGAGCTGAGTTCACTGACTTAGAGTGACTAGGAGAGGAAACGAGAACCTCTGCAAGAAGTAATGGAAGTACAACAGGCCAAAAGCAGCCTGTTTGCTTGTTCGAGCAGTTTTTAGGTAAAAGGTTACACTATTTTCATTTCCATACATAGCTTATCAAAATAACATTTAGAAAGACTGAGTTGTATTTAATCTCTTATCACCACCGAGTAACTTAATTGCAGATGCAGGGCAGGGGTGGGGATAATTTTGACAGCAGAGCAGCCATCAGAACACAGACAGTACCAAAAGCAACACCTTTTCCTCATAGGCGTCTCCAGATCCACAGAGGACACAGCCAAGTGCTCTCTGTGGACAACACATTTCAGTGGTGGGACCCAAACATGTCTTTTTTCAGAATTCCAAGCATTAGCCCACTCTTAGAAATATTCTTTGGTAAGCTTGAAAATCATCTAGCTGCACAAAACCCATTGATCCGTTACAGCTTAGAAAAGTTTTAGTTCAGGAATGTATGGTAATTGGGAGAAAAGAAAAAAATCTTCCTAAGATCAGGTTAATCTGTATTTTATTTAAGAGAGGTTTGTAGACAATTAGCATTACTGCTTTTCTTGTGCCCTTATTTTTCTCCCTGATAAAGTGTCTCTTCAATACTAACAGCTGAATGTAAGTTTTAATTATATACGTATTTTAATTATCTACTTACTGAAGTTAACATGGCCTTCAAGCAAAGAGATTTCTTTAAGGGTGTAAAATGCAAGAAAAGCACATTTTCCAAAACAAAGTCACTTCAAAAGAAGAAAGGGGACATATAAAATATTCTTAAAGTGGTGAACTCTGACTGAGCACATTCCCGTCTACAGGGAATTCTTAAATCCATACTTTCTTCTATTTTCTGTTTTAGATTACAGCCTCATAGTTCAGATTTGAAGAGTACAGTAGGTCTAGTGTCTAGCATGCAAATTGCTTCTAAACCATAACTAATTAATTAAAAGTTTTAAACGTACCTTTTTCTTCCTCAGTAACCACTTTATCCATTGCATAGTCCACATCAAAAATGTATCGGTAGAAGCAGAGCTGAGTGTACAGGGCCTTATCAGAATA